CCTCCATGTGACCCTGGCATCAGTAACAATGTCTTCTCTATATGTCCCTGCAGCCTTGGAGTGGTAGTGGCTTCCTGATTTTGCTAAACTCTACCCCTATTGGCTTCTCAGCTCTTTCATTAACTGTGCATCCAATTCCTTTCATCAAATTCTCTCTGTATTAAATACTTAGGGTGCTTTCCGTTTTCCTGGTTCAATTTTAATTGATTAAGAGAGGCACAACCAAATGGCAGAAGAAAATGCAGCAAAGCACAACATTTTAGTATTTAACCTGAAAGTTTCCTATAGCTCTCCAGAGTACTTGCTTCTAGTTCATTTATTGATTTATTTTAATTCAACAAACATTTCTTGAGTATCTACTGTCTTTTAGGTACTCTGATACCAAATGAATAAAACATGATAGCCTACCCCAGGATCCAAATAGTATCTTTGAGAAAACAGACATCTAAATAGCTATTTATGATACAAATGATAATAGAGATAATATTCAGGGGTATTATGGAAACAGAGGATACTACCTAGCTCAGTCTGGGGAAGTCAGAGGGAGCTTTCTGGAGGAGTGATGTCTGAAGTGAGTAAATAAGTGAGTAGGAGTTATCCAAGTGAAAAGAGGCTGTTGCAAGCCAAAGTCCTAGAGGCCAGAAAAAGTAGGAGTTAACATTGTCAGTGTATAAGGTGTGAGGCAAAGAACAGAGAAAGATAAGGCTGATGCAAGGGATGAGGACAGATGACAGAGGGGCTATGTTTGTCGTCTAGAGTAGTTTGGCCTTGACATTGTGTGTGTTGGAGAACCACTGGAGGGTGATAAGCAGAGTGATGACGTGATTAGATTTCCGTTTTAGAGCCACCACCCCAGCAGCTGCGTTGCATTGAGGGGGAGCTGGTGTGGGGAACAGTGAGTACTTCAAGTGATGCTATTGAAATTCTACTTTGTGTTCCACATTCCAAATAACTGTCCAATAAACTTCTGCTATAAAGTTTGTTCCTAGATGAAGGACTGTTACTATTGTCTTATAAGGCTGCATATATTTCTGGAGAAAGGGGCCTCTAGCCTAATGTGTTTCAAACCACAGGTTGCAAATGCAGCTGAAAATACAGGAGTGCATCACATCATTCTGGTCCTCAGCCTCAGCGAGCCAGAACCTTAGGAACAATAATAAAGGGTGAAAGTTCCATAGGGCTTCCACTTACCATCTCAGAAACCATTTAGGACAGTAGAACAGAGATCTGACTGCAAGAATTTTATAAGATCCCACCCCTTCCTCATGTTTACCACCCCTCCATCTCTTTCTCAGTTCTGAATAGCAGTGAAAGCCTTACAGCAAACACTAACATTCTGCATGCATGTATTTCAAGAACAAAATAAATGGGGTAGTTCGTATAGCTTTTCCATCTCACGCGTGTGTTTGTAGACCCTTGTTTGACAGAAACGGTGACATATTTAAATAGCATGTTTTCTACTCTCCTGTGTGTGGGTCCAGAGAAAACAGCATCCAATACTTAGTATGACAATAAAGTGTCTCAAATAACAAGACGTGAAACCTGGAGGAAGGCACATTAAAGGGGAAAAAGAATTAAAATAGATGTCCTCGTGCTTCGAAGGTTCCTTCGCAAACCAATTGTGTGTTTTCATTGGTTAGCTCTCCCAGGACCCGGTTCAGATGGATTCAGGCCAACTACACTATGGAGGCTGATTCCTGGGCGATTGATAATGTCATCTTGGCCTCAGGATGTCCTTGGATGTGCTCAGGACGAGGGATTTGTGATGCTGGACGCTGCATGTAAGTTAATAAAACTGGCAGTTCTTTCTCTGCAATGCAAAATTAAAATAACTCGTTAAACTCATGACAAATAATGCCTTTTCTCTTCTCCCTTTTTCTTAGGTGTGACAGGGGCTTTGGTGGGCCCTACTGTGTTCCTGTTCTTCCTCTGCCATCCATTCTTAAAGATGATTTCGATGGGAACTTACATCCTGACCTTTGGCCTGAAGTCTACGGTGCAGAGAGGGGGAATCTGAATGGTGAAACCATCAAATCTGGAACATCTCTCATTTTTAAAGGGGTCAGATAAGATTCTGTTTCTCTACACTAGTGCTAATTCCTTTCTTCACTCAC